TTCATTTAGTTTCATGATTTAAATTACAACAGGTTTTGTTTCTTAATCAATGTACCTAATGGACTTCATGTTCGGGAAGAAGTTTTCTAGTATACCACCTTCATATACTTTCATGTTTTCCTGCTTTACTTCCATGGTATTCCTACTGACTAGTATGTCACGTTCATTTAGTTTCATGATTTAAATTACAAGGTCTTCCATTTCGTTCATTTTACTCTGTCTTATACATGCATCTCAAACATTTCACCTCTGCATGCAATGTTATGTTGGGCAGCTTCCTGATATCTATTTTAGGTGTACTTTCTAATAGGTGCAAATATTCAGTATCCTTTTATTGAGCAGGTAAGTCATATGTTGGGCAGCTTCCTGGCTCTAATGGCATCTGTTCTACGTACTTTTAGCCAAAGACTAATTAGGTAGCTGCCTATATATTTCAGTTATGCATTGAGATATGGTGATGTAATTTTGCCTATGTTGTGTACATGGTTATGATAGCATAGTTGATGATCTAATATGTTCTCTTGTGCAGAAACATTAATGGTTAGGATAATATGATTTTGATTTATTTGTACAAAGGAATAAATGATGGACTGTTCTATTTCTTTAGAAGGGAAAGTAAAATTTGCCCCAAGATAAGGCGAAAAAGGTCTGGATTTCATTTTGGAACTTGGGTCGTTATGATTGTGGTGGTGCTTCCAATACCAAGCTATATATGATGTTAGATATTGCTGTTTAATATTTTGATGATTATGTTCAGTGAATTGCTTTTCATTTTTGGGTCCATGCTATTAATTTCTGACTGATGGTGAACTATCGGTGCATAATAATATAGAACTTGCTATTGTTTCTTGTTATATATATATATATATATATATATATATATATAATTTTTTTTTTATCAATTTAGCTATGAGAACCTAACGTAAGGGTTATTAGCTAAGCTTTCGGTGTACCTTAGTTTTTTTATTTTTATTTTTTTTGTTAATTGTAATTTCGAGAACCTAACATAGGGTTCTCTTTTTTAGCTTGAGGCACATGACTAGTATTATATAGGGCACGCGCCAATTTGAGTTTGGCAGCCTCGCGCGCCCTAATTTGAGTTTGGCAGCCTGGCTTGGGTGCCTTGCACTGAGGCGGGCAACACGCGCTTCACCTGCAAGTGAGGGCGCGTGCCTTGGTACGTGTTTGGGGGCCAAAATGTGCACCTTGGTCCCCAGACTTTCTCTATGAAGTACATTCCATCATTTTTCACTTAATTTTGCTCCATTTGCTTGTTTTTGTGTCCAATTGGGTTCCTGCACTTCGAAACCTCATTTTGCACTCATATTCAACTTTTTAATATTAGCAATTTAGTCCTCAATCTTTGTCTTTGATGCAATCAAGCCCACCTTCCTTTTTTTAAAATGCAGCGGGCTGGTTCTGTTCCTCCAAATATTAATCCAAAATAAATTTTACGTTTTAGTGTTAAATATTTTTGAAATAAATATTTTTAAGGTAGGTACAAGGAATAAAGAAAAAATAGAGCAAACAATTTTAATGTATTGTTTTGAAATAATTTATTTTCACCCAAATTTTTTTAGGTTCGCTCAGATTTTTTTTTCACTTTTATTTTTTGAAAAAAATTTCAAAAACATTTGCGGATTGGATCCGTTGCTCCTACAACCGTCTCGCATGCTAATGTAAACACGTTCAAAATCTTTCACATTTTGAAATAGTTACCTTTATTAGTCTAAATTAGAAAATAGAATCTCAAAACCCTTTACATTTCGAAATAAATTTTTATTTATCGGATAAGGGACCGAACGTTTGGTTATTTGAAAATAAATTTTTTTGATGCAAAATTTTTTAATATATGGAAATCCAACGTGCGAGGTTAAAAAAAAAAAAAAATATTCCAAATGTAATGTTTTGAAATAAAATTTTTTCATTGGACAAAGAACCTAACGTTGGTTCTTGGATCATGAGAACCAAATGTTAAGTTCTCTCAGATTTTTCTTTTTTTACTCTTATTTTTTAAAAGCATATGCGGATTGGATCCTTTGCTTATACTAGATTAGATTCGTTACTCCTACAATCGTCTCCCGCATTAACGTAAATACGTTCAAAACCCTTTACATTTTAAAATAATTAACTTCCTAGTCTAAATTAAAAAATAGTATCTGAAAATCCTTTACGTTTTAAAATAAATTTTTATATATTGGGGGTTCGGACATTCGGTTATTTGAAAATAAATTTTTTTTAATTTAAAACTTTTTAATGTACAGAAACCCAACGCGCGAGGTAAAGAATAAAAAGGCAAAAGAAAAAAAAAAAAAAAAAGACCAAACAAATTTAATGTACTATTTTGAAATTAATTTTTTTCATTGGACATAGAACCGAACGTTGGGTTCATAGAACCGAACGTTAGGTACTCTTAGATTTTGGGCTTTTTTTGTGGATACAGATTTGGGGATTTTATTTGTAGGGGTTGTTGATGTGGAGTGGTTGTAGCGACGATGATGGTGACGATGTTTTTGTGACGTTGTGGTGGCGGGATCTTGTTAGATTTGTCGGCGAAGTGTATGTGGCTCTGAGAGAGCAACCTTGTTCCTCCCTACCCAAATGAAGTTTAAATGTTTTTTGGATTCCCGAAGAATAAGGAGGTGAAATAAGTTCGAACGACAGATTTCCTTTTGTTCATTTTTCTCCACTCATCATACAAGAAGCATTTTCCTTGTCGAAAAAGTGGTGGCCCCAATGAGATCCACCAAACGTTCAACCTCACTTACCCAACACATTGAAGCCAGGGATGGAGCCCAATGAAGCCCACTGAACTTCTGGGCCCAACTCCAAAGGCCCAAAATTTTTTGAAGTCACATGGCCATGTAATGTTATAGATAACATGTCCTCATTCAGAGCGTGAAGTATGGCTTTTGTGTTTTTCTCTATAGAAGTGTGACTTTTTTGTTTTATATATACTTCACTTTTCCCTTTGTCGCCTCTCGTTTTTTATCCTTTATATTGATTTTTGATTTTGATGTTTACCGCCGGTTAACGAGAACGGATGCGGCTATTGATGCCAATGATCGTAATAGGAAAATAAAAAATGTACAAATAATTTCAACATGTACCTTGAAAGTTCTTTTCTCAAAAAATGCACATTTCACCAAAAAGAAACGTTCCTTCCAAAAGAAATCGATTAATGTTCTGAGTCTGCATCGATGGCACCATTTTATTAGAGTCGAGCCCGAGCCTCAAATTTCAACTCGCAAGTCGGCTCGGCTCGTTGACATGCTTATTGCTACTACTATAGTAAAATGGTGCGAGTTGCTCAGCTACAAAAAGAGGCTTGACCCGAGTTTTCGGCTTGGGCCTTTTCAGTTTTTTTTTTTCTCTCTCCTGGATTTAAAGGCAACATTTTTCTATCTTTTAATAGGCCCGAGCCGAAAGCTCCGGTTGGGCCTCTTTTTTTGGCCGAGCAAAAAACTCGGCTTGGCTCGAGCCCTAAAAAAGTTTGCACCATTTTACTAGAGTCGAGCTCGAGTCTCAAATTTCGACTCTTAAGACAGCTCTACTTTGCTCGTTGACGTGCTTACTTCTACTATTACCAGACATGCAAAAGCATCAATGGTGCTAAGAGGCAAAATCCGAAATTTTTTTTTTCTTTTTTTCTTTGGATTTTTTGGACCCAATCGCTTCTTGTCAGATACGTTCAAGCCATTAAGGGTTAATCCTCAAGCGACCCTCAAAGTTTGAGAAGATTGAAGGTTTTAATTGACCAAAGATGACACCCAGTTTGGACTGCTTTACAGTCTAATAGGCAACAGAAAAACAAATATCATGATTGTTTCATTTTTTGAATTAGTGTAATTCCAATTTCCAAGTGACATAATTTCGCCTAACATGTTGAAGGTTTATCTTTTAGTTTTCGTATTTATAGGCTAAGTTATTTTCTTTAAATAAAAAACATAATTAAATAAATTAATCAAATATTAAATAAATATTAATATTAAAACAACTAAAGAATTAAATAAATTATTAAATATTTAATAAAAAAACATAATATTATAAATTATTCTAATATTAAATAATATTATAAATAAATAAAAAATAATTAAATAAATTAATCAAATATTAAATAATTAATAATATTAAATAATATTAAAATAAATATTAAATAAAATCCTCCCTTTCCGCTCTCTCTCTCTCTACGGGCCAAAACCCTCCATCAGTTGCTTTTATCGCCTCTCCAACTGCAACTTCTTTTTTGGCTTCTCTAATCTAGATTTCTCTGTATGAATGAGTAATTTCACTTCCATTAATAGAGTGACCAGCCTTCAAAAATCCGTAAACCGATTCACCGTATTTTGAAAGAGGAAGAAGAAGAGTATATTAAAGAAGCAAAATTTGGCAATCAACCTCTCTCTCTTAATATTATTATTTATGTTTTTGATAGATATTTATACAAATAGCAAGATTAGATATGGTAATGGTGGTTGGATTCAAAAACTGCGTGAAGCAGGCGTGAATGGATTTTGATTGCTGTAGCATCCTAGAGTATAATTTAAGATCTACATTGATATGCTTGGGTTTGCTTTACAATTTACATAAAGCAAGGATTTTGAATGGCTAGGTTCCCTTTTTTATTGAATAATTTTTAGTGTACATTATGGTGTCCATAATGTACCCATAGCACAACTCTTTTTTATTTAACAAACAAAAAACACATTAAAGGACTCACATGGGTCATGTGGGGTCAAATGACCTCACAGATTTTTGGAGTTTTTTTATTTTTATTTTTTTTCATATACCTAACGGCCACTCAATAACCCAGTCACCCAGATCCAATTTATTTAGGCAGTTACCCAAAGCAGTCCACAACTCACAAGTAACAGGCCCAAATCCAATTGCACTCCACAGAAACGTACAACAGCTGAGAGTTTAGGAAAAGATTGGCCTTACAATCTTAAAAATTAAAAACAAGCGAAAAATGCACGTTTTGACTGAATGGAAAATGAAGAAGCAAAGAAACTGAAGATCTTAATCATGTACTGTCCACCTTTGAATATTGTACTCAGAACTGAACACTTACATTTTAACGTTTTCAGATTATTCGTATTACATTGAGTTATTACACCTCGTTCCTTGGAAGATTATAATTATTATTACAAACAAGATAATGAAGCTGCTGTTTTCCCAATGGATGTTCATGATTCAAGTGAGTCTCTGTTAGTGATGATTATGAGTGTGATCAGATGTGGTTGCTACCATGTCCAGAGCTTGAGGATGGTTTTCGGCTGATTTCATGTGTGAACTTTTCCCGACTACCTCATTCTTCTTGATTTCTTCTTCGATGTTCACATCATCATCAATGGTTAGGATAACAGTTTTTTTTCCATGTGGACCAGGAACAATGTCTTCATGGACTCTTATGCGTTCGTCAATTTCCACTTTATCTGTTTCCTGAATGATTCTCTTCTTTCTCTTTTTAAGGAAGCAGAAAAGGGCAACTGAGAGAAATGCAAGGAAGAATAATCCACCAAGTGAAACGAAAATGAAAATGATGACAGTATGGTGTCCTGGAGTGGGTGGTTGTGGTGGTGGTGGAGAGAAGGGATGGGGTGGAGATGGAATAATATGTGGTGGTGGTGGCGGAAAGACCGAATGGGGTGGAGGGGGAACAATATGCGGTGGAGGTGGTGGTGGAGAGGGAACAACATGAGGCGGTAGTGGTGGTGGAAAGATGGGGTGAGGTGGTGAGGGAACAATATGAGGTGGTGGTGGTGTTACAATGGGTGGATGGGGTGGTGGTGGATGGGGAACAACATGAGGCGGTAGTGGTGGTGGAGAGATGGGGTGAGGTGGTGAGGGAACAATATGAGGTGGTGGTGAGGTTACAATGGGTGGATGTGGTGGTGGTACCTTCGGTGGCGATGGAAAATTGTGAGGTGGTGTAGGAGGAAAATATGGATAGTTTTGGAGTGTAGCCATTGCAGTGTTAACAAAATGGTAGACTTAAACTCGTTTATTTCAAAGATTGATGGGAGATTGCTGTGTTGTGACATCTATTTGTAGTAATAGTTCACAAGTTTTTAAATAGTTCTATTTAAAGTTTGTACTTGTAAGTCTTATGTGACTTGACTCTCATTCTAAGAATAAGAAGGGCTGTCATGGATTGATTGAATTCAAATTCACTCTTTTTAAGCTTGGAATTTTCCAATATATGCATTTCAGATGATGTTGATGGGTTCATTTCCTTCACAAATTATAATTCCTATGATCTTCAACACTTGACAAAGCAATATAGCCTTGTTAGTGAACCAATGCTGAGCCTAAGGTCAATCTCCGACTATTCAATCGTCTATGATTGGGTTTCAAGAAATCTATAGATGAATGCAAATTCTTTATGGTTAAAGAATATTTTTCTTGTTTCTCTTGAACAATTAAAATATTCTCTATAAAAAAGTATGTGATTTTGCTTCTTGCGAATATATATTTAGTCCCATTTAAGGGATCTAATAAATGCATAATAAGAAGAAATTTTTAAATAATTATTATATTAATCTCATTAATCTCTTAGTTTTCTTAGAATATAATTAATTGCAATAATAAGTCATTACTGAAATAAACATACATTAGATCACCAAGAGTTTGGAAATTTCTTTTTATGTTCATCCTGTTCTTATATTCTATTGAGATTATCTTCTTAATGTTTTAATAATTTGATTAGAGCTTCAATACTATAACCTTTACTTTTAAGATCAGAATGACTAAAATACTTTCACTTTCAGTTCTATAATGTGTACAAAAGTTTTAATATTATAAAGAAAAAAGCTGCATTTTGTTTTCCGAAAAGAGTTAAAGTTTAGAATTTGATTGACAAGACAATACCATATACACCTCGATTAATTGAAAGTACTAGAAACCTTCTCTGTATTTTCAAAAATCACAGAAATGTCCCCCTTTATACTCTTATTTTTATTTTTTATTTTTTATTTTTTTATCCTTCCAAATTTATATTACCTGTAAAAATATTATTAAAATTTATTTCTTTCTCTTTTTTTCTCATTTCTTGAAAAAAAAAATATTCATAAATTAATTAAATTGGTTCACTTGCAATATATGATGTAACCATTTTTCCATATCACAATACCAATAGAATACAAAGTTAACATTGACTAAGGTTCAAAAAATTGTTATTCAAAAGGTCCAATAATGTATATATATATTGGACCTTTTGAGGCATAATTTGTTTAATCGGTACAAATTGTGACAATGATCTTGTAGATATTTCGATTCCAGCAATCTACTTTCATTTGGTATTTTGGCCTAAATGGCTTGATTCCTCAATACTCAATCAAATCATCTTTTTTGACGATTGAATGCATTTCTATAGTCCCATATTTAGTAATGCCCGAACACTTTTCTTCTATACTGCGGATCATCAAAATGATTACTAGATACCCATGGATAAAATAAATAAAATTATAGTACTTGTATGCTTCTAGCCGAAATCTTCTTAAAAATGAGAGCATATGGATTAGTTCGTATCAATATGGAATTATTAGCCTATTTTGACTTTTTTGAACTCTATCTGTAACTCATTAGAGACCTGAGAAACAAAAACTGAAAAACTGATTATTAATATTTATTTTCTCTTAGATATTAAATTTATGTGATATTTGAAAATATAAGGGCTGTCTCTCTTATTGTCAATTAATTAAGGGATTGTGCCTACTTAACTTTCTGAACCCCCACTAAAATCCATATCTTTCATGCCATTAAACATATAGACTAACAATTCTACCCTGCTTAGTTAAACTAAATTTAATTATTTTTTTGGTAAAGTACAACCTACCTAAGCGCAGTTTTTAATGCTTGATAATTAGGTTCTCTTGGGGTTTAGCATTACTCTCTATCCTAGTTATATTGATAGAAAAATCGTTGAAACGAGGGCGACGAGCAGCCTTACCTCAAAATGAAATTATAACGACCTCTCAACCTCAAAAAGAAATTATATATGACGACTTCTTAACAAAACAATAATTAAATCTATTTACTAATACATCAATTTGTTTCCTATTGACCAACATATTTGAAGTAGTTGTGAAACAATACCTTCGTGCCCTCCTGGCTGTGTAAGGTGCTATTGCTACTCCGATGAACAAATATTACCTGAGAAATGAGGGCAGAACTTTCTCTCCCGTTTTACCTCTGGCGTGAGAATCGATATATGGTGATAGGGCACATAGTGACAAATGGTCCCATGGAGGTCAACAACCTAGCATAAATGTAGAGTGCTTATGGAAGTCGACGACCCATTATAAACATAGAGGACCGCATAGTAGCTGACGACCAGATATGAATGTAGAGTGCCTATTGAGTAGCTTTCACCTTGTTGGTCTCCATAGATGGCTATCAATACTATCCAATAACAATATTAAAATCAGCATCAAACAGTTCTATCTCATGAGTCTAAGATTTCTTCTCCATCTTCCCTTCTTGCTTCCAATTTCAAATCTTTGGACTTCTCATTCTAATATTTGGTTACCTCCATTGTCCAGCCTAAATATCCCTCTTGCTTCACCACATAAATCTCCTTTCATAAAGATTTTGAATTGTTTCTCCTTATATCCAGAATTTGCCAATCAATCTGCAAGTTGATTACCTTCCATTCAAAACTGAGATCTGTAATTCCTCAATCCATTGGAAAATCCTTACCATATGATATTGAACTTGCCAGGGTCCATAATTGTGCTTTTTTGTAAGATTGGCAACTGACAGGGAGACCAATTCTTCCCTGATTGATTCAAAACCTTTACCTACACAGAGCTTGAGTCCAGTATCCATAGCTTTTATTTCTTTCATCTATTTCCAAATTTTCATAGACCGAAGTCAATACTAAGTATCAATTTGAATTTTAATCTTCAACGCTACACCACTTAGTAATCACATTTAACCCCTGTTTTGTGGAAATTAAAATCCAGAGTTTAATATAAGTCAACAATTAATTTTAATAACACATTTTATGGACCTCATAACTTTTTAACCACACAATTCATTAACCTTTATCAAAATATACTAAAAATCTGATTTTAATTCCACCAAACAAGGACTTAGTAAACAATATATTAAATTCTTCCAGACAACACAGTATACAATTGGTACGCAGTGTTAAACTCCATTAAACACTTCGATAGACAAAATTTAACCATTTCTCCTTCTTAAGATTGTCCAATATTAACTTATTGGGTATGCTACAAATCCATATACCAAAATTCCGGTAACCCGAATACTGGACAAACCCAAATTTTTTTATATAGAGAACTAAAATAAATGTGTTAGCCTGGCCTAGCCAAGATTTATTTGACATTAGCCTCTGGATACGAGGCAAATAGGAGTCAATCCCCATCCAATCTAGGTCGTTTTAACGTGACAATCGGTAAAGAGAAGTGAGTATTACAGGAATACCAAGCATGATGATTAATAAAAAAAAAACTTCTATAGAATTCACGAGAAGAAGAATTCGAATTTCACATCCATGAATAAGAACTAGCTATTTCGGGCATTGTTAGGTCTCTGTTTGTAATTGGCTATACTTTAAACAAAATTAAAGCAATGAAGTTGTAATTAAAATCAAAATAGTTGTGGATCAGCTATGACTGTGGTGGCGGTGGCGACGGTAATGGTAGGTTTGGGGCCTTTTTTGGGTGGTGATGGTGTGGTTGAAATGGTAGTTTTGATTCTTAGTATAAGCAGTGGTGAGATGGTAGCTCTGGCGATGGTGATGGGGCTGTGTTGGGTTGGAGTTGTATAAAGAGGGACTGTAACAAATTATTTAGTTATTGTGATCGATAAATTAGTTAATTTGTTATCAACAAATAATTTATGACCAATTATTTGAAATTGTGACCAATAAATTGGATATTTTTTGACCAATAAATGATATATGATCTAAAAATTTGAGTCAAGACTTATAAAATATATAATTTGTGATCGATAGATAAATTTTGACCTATAAATTTGTTGGTTTGTGACCAATGACTAAATTGTGACTTATAAAATTTTTGATTTATGACTGTAAAATAATTTGGGACTCCTAAATTTTTTATCCGTGATTGAGAAATAATTTGTCACTAGTTAATTCAATAATTTGTAACCAAATAATATAGAATTGTTACATTAATACATTCTATAAGTAAAATATGTTTTTAATTAATTATTTCATAAATAAAAATTAATTAATATCTAATTTTTGAAATTTAAAACCTTGTTTTATAGTTTTGAAATAAATCGTACTTAATCTCTTAAATATGAAATTTTTCCCAAAGTTATATATGCTCATTAAAAGGGGAAGAAAGAAAAATTATACATTAAAAAATCATGAGCTTTTTAAAATTAAAAAGGTCATAACAGCACTGGGTTTGACTTTCATGATTAACCAAAAATTCTTTGTATGTCCTTTTTTACTAATATAAGATTTTGAATCTTGTTTACAAGAGATTATTGACACTTTTTCACACATGGAATTCATATACAATTTACTTCATCTAAGTTTAAAATAAGTTGTGGAAAAAAAATTCACTTTTTATAAAATCATATCTGCGTAAGCAAGCAAACAACTATTCTTGTGATTTAACTTTTATGATTTTTATATTATATTTAAAGATCCATGAAAAAACAGTTGTTTAAAATGAAAATTTGTATTCTCCCATCACGGGTTGGATAATTTTACATACCTTGTTCACATTCATATTTTTAGCTCATTTGTCTGTATATTATTCACGATTGTATAACTTGTTTTCCTTTGTTATTCGTGAGAAAAAAGGGAGAGATGGTATTTATTTCGAGGAAAGTTGGAGTATAGGAGTTAGGGAGAGGTTTTTATTTTATTTTATTTTTATTTTTATTTTTATTTTTATTTTTATTTTTATTTTTATTTTTTTGGGTTTATTTAGATATTTGACTTAGGGAGAGTCATAAATATGTTTGAATGATTTTTTATGTGTTTGGCATTTTAATATCAATATTGTGTTTAAATATTTAGGCAATATTGTTATTAATATTCTATTTTTATTTCTAAGTCGTTGATACATGTAATATTGCATGCTTTGATGTTACAAATGTTTTACTTGCATTCTTTTATATGACTTAGTTATATTTTTTAACTGTTAGTTTCCTCTTGATTTTTCACACGGTATTGTGGAGTTCGTGTGTTTTAGGAAATATGTTCACAAGATGTAGAAGTAAAGTTTTAGAATTGAGTTCTATGATAGATTTTGATAAGTTGTTTTGATTTTAATTTTAAAATAAACGATTTTGTCACGGAATGTCAAATGAGAAGTTTATTAGGTCTTTACTCGTAATTGGCTATTCATTAGACAAAATTAAGTAATGAAATTGTGATTAAAGTCAAAATAGTCAATGATTAATAGTATAGTCCTTAAAGAACTCAAAGATGTACAAGATCACACATAATCAATAGAATGCAATTAGAAGTAAAATGAGTGTCAAAGTATTGCACAAGTCATATTCCAAATTTTCAATCACAAGCAGTGATGCATTTTCACATAGAAAACATTTAAACTGAAAAAATGCTACATCTAGAAGAATTGTAGTATTTTGAGTTAACTTTTTAACGCACTTTGAATCATCTCTTTGATATCATAAGAGAAAGTTATGAAATGAACTCTCATTGCCTGCCCGATAGGCGCTTGAGTGGTGATGCTATCCGGGAAACCCTTGGTTCTCGATTTTTGGTGATTTTCTGATGATATTCAACCTCAAACACTTCATATTATATATATCAATTCCTAGATCGTCCCAAAGGCAGGTTGAATCATTATTTTACATTATAGATCATTTCGTTGAAGTTCTCGATTCAAAATTTGTGTTACGACTTCGAACTAACTTGGTTTGGGCTCTGGTTTAAGTGAATAAGCTCGGACCGGGTTTTGCTATCTTGCTATGCCCAAAAAGCTAAAATTAAGCTTAGGCAAACTACAATCTAGTCATTGTCGGAACATAGTGCAATAACATTCTTCTAAACATAAAATTAAAAAGTTATATTGAGCTTAATCCATCCTAATGCTATACAGCATCCACATACATATTATATTTATTTCAATTTTATACTTAATACTTTATACAATTTAATTCTATATAACGAAACGCAACCTTAATTTTATATTCTGGATGGCACATCACAAACATCCATATCTAATCCTTGCCACGCTCATTAAATACTCTTGTACTAATATGTGACTCAGCTAGGATACAACGGATATAGTTTTTGTGGTATGTATTAAAAATATATATTTTAATGTATATATTAAAATATAATATCAATGTCACCTAGGATACGTTTGTAAATGACCAAAAAAAGATAAATAAATAAAAATGTCAATTATTCCATATATATTAAAATATAATATCAATGTCACCTGGGATACTAACGTTCGTAAGTTTGTAAATGACAAAAAAAAAATGTCAATTATTCTAGCTTTTGTATATTAATATTACATTACCCTATAATTTCAGCTAGAATCATTATTGCTTGTCTAGTCATTTATCTTTGATTTAGATGTTAAGGTAAACTACCTACATAAATGTAAACGTTTGAATGAGTCAAGACAATGGAACACTAATCAGGAGAATCTACATGAACAAAATTATTTATTATATTTGAATTAAATGTCATCTATAAAAGAGCCGGGCTCTCAACTGAAAGCACAAGTTAATGTATTTGTTCTACAACTATTGATCATATAATGTTTTGCTGTTTCTCAAGTAGACACCGTAGAAAGGAAAATTTTGACAATCCGACTATCACACGGAGCAAAACTCCGGCGCCAACATATTATGGCGGTGATGGAAAAGATGGAAAGGTCAGTGGCATAAAGGATGGGAATATGGTGGTGTTGGCCGGAGCAGGTGCTGCTGTGGCTGCAACAGCCGCTACTGCAGCAGTTGTGGTGGCTGCGGATGAAAGTGAACGGGATCGCGATCGTGATAATCAAGCTAGTGGGGCAGGTGGTCGTGGGGCTGCGCCTGTAACCGCTGGTGGGGACGGAAACAGCTGCGGTACTTCCCAAGGTTGTTGTTGCGGTGGCGGTGATGGCGGTGGTTGTGGTTGTGGAGGTGGAGGTGGCTGCGGCGGTGGTTGCGGTTGTGGAGGTGGAGGTGGCTGCGGCGGTGGTTGCGGAGGTTGAATATTGTGATACCTTCAATTTCCTGGAATTGTGATATCAGAAGTTGCCCTTTCCCATCTTTGTAAATTTTATTTTTGTCCGTTCAAATTTTTCTATAAATAAAATGCTTGTTCAAATTTTTCTATAAATAAAATGCTTTTCTCTCCTCGTATCCTTTCTTTATATTATTTTACATAATTCTCAGAAGACAATGGAATGAAGAACATAACCAAAGTCTCTTTAACTCCACGAATACTTGAGAATTTTAGGATTTAATAATTCGTTGATTTGTTTACAGCTGACAAATAGTAAGATAACACTTCAGGGACGGATTCCAACCAAAGCACAACTTCAGGGACCAATTTAAAGCTTCCAGAAAATATAGCAGCCGACTTGCATAAATCAGAAAGTTCGGGGACCAACTTGTAGATTGAAGAAAGTTTAAGACTTTACAAAAACTAGAAACTTCAAGGACCAATTGGCAATATTGGGTGGGCAGTGCTTGAGTAATCAACAACTACGTTTGGTTATGTAGGACCAAATTGATGAGGATGATAAGCATAGAATATTTCTAATGATAATAGTTTTCAAGTCAATGCTAAATTCTTCAATCTATTCATTCGGAGATCAAAAGAAGATTGAAATAAAGAACCAATTTTATTGACTATTTCAAGAATCGAAGTGTGAATATTACTCGTCAATTAAAAATTTGCATGAAAGGATTAGTTTATCAAGTTATCTCTGGCTCATGGAAGTCAATTATCGATGGAAAAGACGAGCATGAAGTTATTAGCACTTCAAATACAAGCAAATGTACTTATCCTATGTATGAATGTGAGTGACATGGGATTGAATCCTCTTTTAAAAGTAAATTATCGAATTACAAGCCTAATTGAGAATGAGATGAATTTTATGGGTTCAAAAGTGTGTGCTAAAAATCAATAAGCAACTCAAATTTCATGATGTTTGAAAACTCCTACAGAATTTGAAATATATCCTATTACTGTTTTTTAGTTCATCTCTTTTGTTCCAGACAACTATTGACTTTATACGTGCTCTAGAACTACAACGAAATTTCTGGAAGAATAATTGTGAATTAGTAAACTGAATTATTATTTACAAAATATTTTTATTTTTTTCTGCAGTTGTCCCCACTTTTGACTTTTCTTAAGTACAATAAATATTAAAATAAAATTGTGAGGATAAAAATTTCACAAAGCCTACACAGTAAACGAGGAAATACATGAAATTGGCCAAAATAAGAGAGGTCATTTTTCAAAATGGCCCTTAACTTTTTCAAACATTTGGAATTACGTAGAATTCCCTTAGACAAATATTAAAAACAACCTATTTCATAATAAAAATCTTTTATCTAAGTCTTTAAAAATTAACAAGTAATTTTTCTAAAAATTTGAAAGAATTATTAATCTTTATGAATAATTATAAAATGAAAAAACTCAAATATAAGAGAGGACCATATAATATAAAAAATATTGTTAAAAATAAAAAAGAAATTAAGTTTGAAAAAGAAATTGATAAGATAGGATATCAAAAACAATTATATGCATCACAAGAAATATTAAAGTGTTTCAAAGAAAACTTATTAGAAAATTTTGCTAAATGAATTGTAAGATCAATAATCATAAAAGATATATAAGGTATCATAGATAAATTAGAAAAAAGGAAGAAAAATATCTTAAAATATAATATACCTTTTAGAACAGACATAGATATGATAACAAATGTTGATATTATAAATTTTCAGACATTACTAGATTTTGAAGAATTACTTAAAAATTTATGAGAAGGCCAATAAAAAATAGATTACCACAAAGAATTTTTAGAATATTAGATTATTAGATTTTTTATTATTAGATTTTTGTTCGCTCATAGTAGCATCATCCCGTTGGTATCAGAGCCATAGAGATCATGAGAAAATATATAAAAATAAATTACCTAAAAGATATTGAAAATAAATAAAATTTATGATTTAAGAAATTATTGAAACTTATAAAAATAGACTAAGATATCAAGTAAAATATAGTTCTAATATAGAAGGCTATATAGAAGAAGATAATAAAGTTGGAACATATAGTAAAGACATAAAAGAAGTATTAGAAATTTTTAGAGTATATATATATATATATTAGAAGAAATCCAGAGTGAAAATAGATTTCATAATAATCTGAAGAAAAAAAAATTATTATGGAAATCATAAAAACAAATAATTATTATCAATGTATTGAAGAAAAAGGATGTTATATATTTTTCAACCCTATCCCTAATAAATTAAAAATAATAACATTACATGTAACTAGGAATTTACCTAGAAAAATAAAGGAACAAATATTACATAAATTAATTGAAGGATTTATTAAAGATAGACGTACATATGAAATAATTATCGAAGTATTTGAAAATGAATTGTACCATAGAGAAATATTTGAATCATCATAAAAATATAATGGAAGAAACTAAAAATATTTTAGAAAGAAAGTTAAGAAGAATAAGATTAATAAATAATAAAATTTTAGATGAATTATTAATACCTGGAGATATAACTAAAACTCAAGAAAAACAAATATTAAAATTAAAACAAGAAAAGTATAAAGAAAAAGCAAGGTATTACGAAAAATTAAAAGAACTAACAAATATTGAAGTTATAAAACAAAAGTATGATAAAATGATAATAGATTGTAAAAATGCTGAGTATATATCATTTTATTATTGTCAATCAAAAAATCGATAAAAGAAAATGTCAATCAGTAAACATATGGAAGAATTAAAACATTTAATAAAAACATTAATAAATAATGTACAAGAAATAAAGAATGAAATAAAAGAAGCAAGAAATGATATAAATATATTGAAACTTGAAGTTAGAAAATTTAAAGAAAATGAAGAAAAGAATAATAGGATAGATAAAAAATTTATAGAAAAAGAAATAACCAGAATAGGGAAAAAAAATATTGACAGATAAAATATAATAATAGAAACAGGAAGCATGGATGATGAGTTTAGAAAAAATATATTACATAAAATATTAGAAGAAGAGAAATCTAGAGAAAAAATGTTAAGTAAACAAAAAGTTAAAGAAAATTAAGACAAAGAAAATGAATAAAGAATTAGATCTACTTATAGATAATTTTGATCATTTAAGTTTAGAAAGTATAGATGATGAATACCAAATCTTAATGAATACTAGAGGATGACCTAATTCCGTAGGAACCTCTAAACAAGAATCAATAGATCTAGATGAAAGTTATGCTCCGATATATAATAAACCATATAGACAATTGTATAATAAAATAAGAGATAAACAACCGTCTAAAGGAAATAAATATAGTAATAGATTTGAATTAAATAATAATTATGATAAACCTGTTAACCATGGAGGAACAAAATTAGACTTAGATTGCAAAATAGATACTAAGAAAGCCTTAATAATTTGGGCAGACTCAATGATATTATTCTTTTTATATAATAAAGATGATATATGGGAAAATATTGAAAGAAGAATAGATTTTTTAATTGCATCTTTTGAAGGAAATGTTAGAAATTGATGGGAAGGAATTAGTAGTGATACAAAATCATTAATAAAAAGAAATGTACAAACAGAAATAATAAAGTCAAATAAATTAGGAATAGAAATATTAGTAGAATATATTGCAGATGAATTCTTAAGAGAAAATTGGTTAAGAAATGATGATGAAGAAGTAATACGAGAAAAAGATAATGCAAGAGTTAAGTTAATTAATTTAACAATTTGTGATATGTGTAAAATTAAACAATCTACTTGTAAATTCAAGGATTACTATTATACTCAATTTTATAGTAATGAAAATCAAGAAGTATATCAAGATATGTATTACAATAAATTACCAGGATCATGGGGAATATATTTTAAAATAGAATTTGAAAAATATATTAAAGAAAATATAGAAATACCTAGAACACTAGTATCAAGAATAAAATTCTTATTTGAAAGACTTGCATATATATGTCACCAAAGACAATTATTGAAAAAATCAGAAAAATTAACTAGAAATGTTGTAAAGATATGGAAAAACCTACAAGATGAGGATGTAATTCTGAAAAAAGAAATAAAAGAAAGTATAAAAACAGAAAGTTTAAAAAATATAGAAACTTTAAGAAAAAATACATAAAACCTAGAAGGAAATATTATAAAAGAAAAAATAATATACAGAAAAATAAACTTTATAAGAAAGATAAAAAAAACAATGTAAGTGTTGGAATTGTGGAGAAATATGTCATATAAGTCCTGACTGCACAAAGAAAAAAAGTAAGAATATTACAAAAGGATTATTTTGAAATAGAAAGTGAATTAAGTGAAATATCTGATATTGAATATGATAATAATCAGGAAATATTTATAAGTGAAGCAGATTTAGAAGATAATGGATCAGAATCTGAATAGAGAAATTGAAGAAATAGAAAATAATAACATAGAAATCCAAAAATATGAGGGAATAGAAGGTTATGGATTTAAAGTAACTTTTGACAATAATAAATTTAAGAAAATACAAAATTTATCCTCAGATTTGAAAATAGGAAAATGAGAAATTTTATATAGAATATGGAGAAGAGAAAAAATAGCAATAAATGAATACCATAAGATTGAAAAAACTATAGATGTCAAGACAACTCAAGGAATACGTAAAATAAATCTTTTAACAAAAAGTACAGTATCAGAATTATTATCAAAAATAAGTAAAAAACATAGTGAAAAGATCCAATATGTTTATTTAGCAAGAATACAAATAATGTTTAAATCTTTATTTAGGGAAGAAATAGATTCACCATTAATTGTAAGTTTACATGATGGAAGAAATTATAAATCTTGAAGATGGTCATTTAGGAACTATAGAAGGAAATTTAGCATATCAAAAGTTAATATTTACTTGTTACCCAAAATATTGTGTCTCATTGAAAGATAAAAACTTTAGTGAAGTTTTAGGATTACATTTCAAATTACATAGAAATGATATAATGGAACCAGGAGATCAAATTATGACTATAAAATATAGGGCATTATATACATTTACTAATTCTAATTATGAGAATATTTATTCCAATAAACCATACATAGAAATTCATAAGGAATACAAGGATATTAGTAGAATAGTGAAACCAAACAAAGAAATAAATCTTATTGCAAAAGAATATGAATTTAATATAACTAAAAATAAACCTGAAATAACAGAGTTAAGAGAAGAAGAAGATTATAAAATAACATTTCACAATGGAAGGTTGATAAAGAAATCAAAAAGTCTTAGACTACCGAATAAAAAAGAATATTAGGGAGAAACTAGTGGTATAAAAGAAATAAAACCTCATGGAAATATTGGAAATATGAAAATAGAAGGAAAATATTTCAACGGTAGAAGGTATATAAAATGACCAAATAT